CTAGTTATTACGTATTGCTGGTCAAGTTACAAAAAATGTGGTGATGAAAGTGGTGGAGGCATGCTGCTCATTGATATGTAACTTGAATATGCTGCGGTAAAATGAAACCGGCACAAAGGTTGACCTGCAGACTTGGCTTTATGACCCGTGAGACCTGATTTGCTACAAGCAACCTCAGACCTGGTTCCTTGTTTTAGAATTCTGCAAAACCTGGCATTATATTCATGACCTTTCTTGTAGTGACCTGTGGCGATGAAGGAGCAGCAGCACCAGGAGGATATGACCCGCAGAAGGTAGAGCGTCGTACCGTGATCCTCGCCATCTGTTGAGACACAAGAACACACACCTTATATTTACATAAGGTGATTCACATAGTTATGCACAGAAAACAAACAAAGACTTTTGCAATACTCTTAGCCGCAATTTTTGGGAGTTATTGTGCCAGTCAGGGCCAGTTTGAGAGAAAGTGAAATGTGCTTGAATGAGTCTCTGAACTTACTTACCCTGACTAATGTCCGGTGTGGGTGTACTGTTTTGTCTCATTTAGGGTCGCAAGGTTTCATGCCAAACTTTTAGATCCCGGAATATACAGCCACGGGAAAAGTCAAGTTGCCCTCCAACCTTGTGAATCTGGACACAACACATTGTTAGCCCATGGATGGTGCAGTGTGTCGTGATGTCTGGATTCACAGGTTCATGAGTTCAGGGTTTATGGATGGGATAGAGCAGCAGGACTTTTTTTCTTGACTGGTGTTGACCCTTTATATATTATCATCTGCTGCCGCCAGCCTGCGCTAGAAGCTGTCATCAACTTTGTCATAAATTCTATCTTTCTTATTTAAGCTGTGATTTTTATAAGAACACATACGTATGTCAGGCAAATTCCAGGAGGATAAGACTTATTATATGGAGTAATTATACCGAGAGTAAACACCTCATACCACTTAACCCTGTAAATAATCCCAAAATTGGAAGGAAGGTAACAACAGTGCAGGACGAATCAAGTAGGATTAAGAACATAAGAACATAAGAATGGAGGAAACCGCAGTGGCCTATTGGCCCATACCAAGGCAGTCCTGCTTTACACCCAACCCCTATTGCTCATATGCTATCCAACCTAGATGCTCAAAGCCGGTTCAGCATATTTGTTAAATGATGATATTTAATGTGGAAATCGTATTCATTCACTACTGTTTCCAAACCAAAAGCTACTCTATTTCACGCCTAAATTCAAATGTTCAATTTGAAACCATTGTTACGAGTTCGCCTCCCTGGTTGGATAGCTTGAGTACCTTTTGTAATGTCTCTTTGTTTAGCTCTGACTTTTTTTATCATTATGGGTCGTTTCGTTTCATGCTCGGTGTAGTGAAATTGAGATGCTTTAACCTTTCTTTGCTCAAGGTTCCTAATGCCTGGATTGTCTTGTCATTCTCCTATCTGCGAATTTTGTTGGGTGAGGATAAGTTTTATGATGCTCGCTGGTCTTTGTAACTACATTTTTTGTATAATTATTTTATTAGTCTTGTTATGATAAAAAGCAATATTGTTTATTTGGTTAAGGTTTTATTTTGATTACTCCTAATTTTGGTCGGGTTATGTCTTGGGGATGGTTGTTATTTGGTATCTGGTTTCCTGTTTACATCTCCCATACCGGTACTTTTACATTTGTCCACGTTGAATTTCATCCGCTATTTTTCGCAATATTCGAAAATTTGTTTAGATCTTCCTGAGTTTTGCGGAGTCCCCAGATCAATAACACGTCCTATTTTAGTGTCAACCAGCAATTCACTTATGTTGCTGTTCATGATATCTATGTCGTTTATGTATATAATAAATATAATGGTCCGGGTACGAGCCTTGAACTCAATGCGTTGTATTTAGTGTTGCCAGTTTCACCGCTGTTTCCGTTGTAAACATGCCCTAATCCATTTAAGGATGTTACCTTTGGATGCCATGTGCTTTACCTTTTCTATTAGGTCAATTAGTGGGCGTTGGGTTGTAATGGTTGCGAGAGGTGTGTGGGAAGGGAGCTGTCATGGAGTGTGTTGTAAAGTATACTGGGTGTTGGTACTGTGTAGGGAGGTGAGGGGGTAATGTGTAGGGGAGGGGTGAGTGTGTAATGTGTAGGGGAGGGGGTGAGTGTGGTGAGTGTGTAGGGGAGGGTTGAGTGTGGGGTACTGTAGGAGGGCGTGTGTGGGTGAACTGTGTGTAGGGAGAAGTTTTGAGGTAGCACTTTCTCCTAGTAGTGAGGTGTGTAAGAAGCACTATCTAGAAGTGGTCAAGATGTGTGTCTAGGGATGTGGGTCAGGTGTGGTGTCTATGGGGTGTGGGCCAGAGTATCAGCGTTTACTGCGAGATTAACACAATACGAGTGGAAGAAGACTTAGCCTTCATCCAGTACTTACTTAGTTTCTGTAAATCTGACTCTGTTCTGGAAAATCCTACCCCCACTGACAACAGCGCTGTTTTCCGAAACACTACACGGATATGTTTACTTGGATAATATGTCACACACCTGGAACGAGTGACAGGTATAGGTGCAACTCAATCCACAAGACTAAGTAACAATGAGGAGAAGAGCGGAGGCAGGGGGTTTAGTACTGTCTATTCACAGCATGATCATCGCCCTCCACGCCCCCGACATTTTCCATGCCCACCAGTGTGTGACCAGCACTACCTGAATTAATATAAGAAATATATATATGTTTATATATAGATTTATTCATTTATTTGCATATTGTATAAGCCGACAAGGTAGGTGATCGAAAACTGTGCAGCTGCAGGAACATGATAGTTGTTCATTGTTATACTTGGAAATATTTGAAAAATGGTATCCACTACCAGCATTAAATAACCACTTACAATATTTAATGTCAGTAAACAAGGTCAACAAATATATATTTAACTATACACTACGATTATGTCTTGTTAATTACTGTGATGTAGAGGACTGTCAATCACTTCATGTATATATATATATATATATATATATATATATATATATATAGTATGGCACACTTTTTTTAGTCCATATAACACGTGACTTTGAATATATATATATATATATATATATATATATATATATATATATATATATATATATATCAAGTAAATCACTATAGGCAAGTGTGATATAAGAATCAGGCTGTACTACCCTGAAGATGTGAATTACACGAAAGCGTTTAAACCTCAGTTTTCTTTCTGTGTGGTTATCAGCATGTATATATATATATATATATATATATATATATATATATATATATATATATATATATATATATATATAATATATATATATATCAGCAAGGTGTTAAGAAAATTTCATCATCACACTTCATTTCGAGTCTTATTCAGATCAGGAGTCAAAGATCGAAACCCTCAAGAGTTGATTCAGTTGTTTACTTAGTCTCAAGTGTAGTCGTTGTAATGTGACATATGCTGATAAAACCAAACGACACTGCGGGGTCTCTCTCTACCTTCTTATTCAGATATCAGAGATTATAGTGAAGAATCAGCCTACTCACACGTTAGTCAGACTTCACAAACCTTTACCAGGTGAAACACCGACGACAAGACACGAGTCACAGTGGATCTGCCTCACAAATTGATTGATACGTTTATCGAGATAAGAAATACATCTCAAAGTAATGATACATAAAGTTATTCTGACCCCAGCCCAAGAATGTTCCTTAGGGCTCACATATAATCCATTACAAAACATATACTCATGGTATTATTATATATAGTCCCCACCTTCACAAAGTCCAGCCAATCCTGGGCACCTGTCATTCTCTACCGTTGCACTGTACTCTTGCTTTAAATCTGTTATATAAAATACCATTACATAACGCCATAGTCTTGAACAGCAAGAGATCAAAGACCGTTCACTATATTCCACCACCAAACACCACTAAAGTAAAATGCCCACATTACAATAAAACTACAACAAAATTAATAGTACAAAATAATAAGATAAATTAAAGAATAGGTTTCCATTATCATCGTGTAACAGATGAGGTGAGTTACAAGCTCCCCGCTGTGGGTGTTGGTAACTGACGCGGCACTACCAGGCGAAACATTCATCAAGTTCCAGTGAGAGAGTTGTGCAAGATAATGATTATCTGTGTAAGAGACCAGAACGCTGTCCAACCTGTGGTGACAGCGGTCCTCCTACCACCGTCACGGGCCACACTGGTGTGGGAAGAGT